TACCGTAAACCTCCGACTATAAGCCCTGGGCTTATATACTTTTGTAAGCGATTTTTGATGGGCTTATACAAGGGGAGGCTTATATACGGGTGGGCTTATACATGGACGATCTTTTGTGTTAGTAATAAACAAGTCAGACATAAACAAGTCAGTCATAAACAGGGAAATAAACGTGTATTAAGCAGCGATTACTGGGCTTATATTAATTGGGGGACTTATATTCGGGGGGCTTATATTCGGGTGGGCTTATATTCGGGGGCTTATATTCGGCTATATATTGGAATGATGTGAGCGTTTATAGTACATGTGGTGGGCTTATACACGGGGGGCTTATATTCGGGGGGGGGGGGCTTATAGTCGGAGGGTTTACGGTATTTGAATATTAAATATTGTACTCTGGGCGAGAGTTGACGAAAGTTGATGAGGATTGCAACTACTGCTCGCGTTTGATCGCCAACTCTCACTGACTCTCATCAATTTCGAGAGTTTTTTTCTCATATGACTGGTAATATCCAGTTAACTTTCACCAACTCTCATGCAAACTCTCGCTTCTCAACTCTCATCAACTCTCATCAACTCTCATGTAACTCTTGTTCTCGTTTGAACGGAACATGAGAGTTGAGAAAACTCATGAGAGTTGAGAAAACTCTCATGCAAACTCTCGCTTCTCAACTCTCATTAACTCTCGTCAACTCTCATGCAACTCTTGTTCTCGTTTGAACGGGACATGAGAGTTGAGAAAACTCATGAGAGTTGAGAAAACTCTCATGCAAACTCTCGGCTTCTCAACTCTCATCAACTTCCGTCAACTCTTGCGCAACTCTTGTTCTCGTTTGAACGGGACATGAGAGTTGAGAAAACTCTGACTCATGCAAACTCTCACTTCTCATCAACTCTCATGTAACTCTTGTTCTCGTTTGAACGGGGCATGGGAGTTGAAAAAACTCTCAGGCAAACTTTCGCTTGCAAACTCTCATCAACTCTCATGTAACTCTTGTTCTTGTTTTGAACGGGACATGAGCGTTGAGAAAGCTCTCATGCAAACTCTCACTTCTAAACTCTCATCAACTCTCATGTAAATCTTGTTCTAGATTGAACGGGACATGAGAGTTGAGAAAACTCTCATGCAAACTCTCGCTTGAGAGAAGTTGAGCCTTACCTTTTAATACACAGAGTACAAATTTCATATGTCTTGTGTTTCGTTTGACATAATCCACTTCCCACATTCGAGGAAAGCAATAAAGATTTGCTATCGCTTTTTTTCTCCTTTTCGCTAGGTGCCACAAACTTCACGCCTCGGCCTTTATGTTTCGCGCTTGCATCAGAGACTTTGTTTCCATTGTTTAGGGTGCTAGATTTTGTCATTTCTTTGCTCGTAGATTTGGTGGCGCCGTTTGGTTGTCGAGCAAGTTTGTGCGAGGTCACTGCCACTCTAGGGCTGGTTCTTGGTTTCTTAGCAACGTGACCAGTCTTGCTGGTGCTTTCTGGCGATAGTTCTCTCGAATTCTTCCCGTTTAAGGGCTTGGTATATTTCCCTATATTGTGATAAAATGTGGAATTTAGTTTGTAACCAAAGTATTGTAACCAAAGCATTATTTTATACACCGGGACATTTAATATTAGTATTTTTACATAATTAATATTAGGAATCCGACGTCGTGATTGGTAAACTTTGACGTGATATTTCCTTTATATTCACCCACAGGTGAATGGCGACTAGCCGTTAAAATTGTGGAAAATTACGGACAAAGAAATAAGCGAAATTAAAATAAATTCAGTCCCAAAAAACACAAGTGTAAAAATACTAAAACAATTATTCGCCTCAAGCTCGGTGAATATCGGAAAATATTCACCTTGACTTCGTCTCGGTGAATATTCTCCGATAATCACCTCGACTTCGGCGAATAATTGTTAATTATTCTATAGTATGATTTATTCTCTGTTGGTGTATACGCAGGTAACATCATTATTCTATAGTAGTTCTCATTTTATTCTACTGTATATAAACTTGATGACAGTTTAACATTAATTTTTTTCTGTGTTGGTGTAGTGTACTCAGGTGAATATGATATTTGTGGTGTTACTCTGAGTGTATATCCACACCGGGCAAGCTTGAAAAATATACCTGGACACGGTGGGAAGGCATATTTTCAAGCTTGCCCGGTGTGGATATACACTCAGAGTAACATCATTATTCTATAGTAGTTCTCATTTTATTCTACTGTATATAAACTTGATGACAGTTTAACATTAATTTTTTTCTGTGTTGGTGTAGTGTACTCAGGTGAATATGATATTTGTGGTGTTACTCTGAGTGTATATCCACACCGGGCGAGCTTGAAAAATATGCCTGACCACGGTGGGATTCGAACCTACGACCTTTGGACTTAGTTTAACAATAAGCATAAAAAATCAATGTATATACTTATAGAAATTTGAAACTGTACTCGCCATTTCTGCAAAAAGCGTTCCCTTGAAATATTTTTTTTTAAAGTTGGACAGACAAACTGACCAGAAACAGAATGCATTGTTTTGGCCTTAGAGAAAATCAAAGTAGATGTTTATTTATTCATTTATTACGCTTTGCCAATTTCACACAATCTGCACAAATGCAAAGACAAGAATATACAACTTATCAATCATAGCAGGGTATATGCTACAGCTTACGCTAATTGCAACCTCCCTTACAGAACGAACATGACACATTCTACATTAGATTTTTTAGTAATACAAAAAGGCCAGTTTGCACCCAGGAAAATCCTCCGTAGGATAGAAACGAATAGGAAAGTTACATAGTGCTGAAGTCGTTAGTTCCAACGTCGTCTGCTCTTGTGGAAAATTTTCCTGAGTGGAAATTAGCCTATAATGAAGCTTAACAAAACGAACACAAGACACGCATTAGAATTAATAACAACATGAATTTGAACATGACAAATTACGGCACGTGTTACAAGACAAACATGTCCCGTAATTTGTCTTGTTCAAATTCGTGTTGTTAACGTTCACGGTACCATTCTTTTTCTCAATCTCCCAAGCATTTTCACTCTCTGGTTCATGCATCGCCAAGCCAAAATCTACCAAGTTGTATCTGTAAAGAGGGTTATATTTAGAAATAAAATCGTACAGTACAGTACAGTACAGTACAGTACAGTACAGTACAGTACAGTACAGTACAGTACAGTACAGTACAGTACAGTACAGTACAGTACAGTACAGTACAGTACCGTACAGTAACATAAAAATACAGTCTTCCCCACTACAGTATGTATCAGGGACTTTTTCCATTCTTGTTTATCCTTTTTAAGCTGCGATAATTCGCGTACTTAGTACCAGGTTCTGAAATTTGCAGTATCTCAATATTCGCAGGATACTAAAGTTTTGGATACCAAACTTGAATGACTTGTATCTCGACTGGATATTACAAACATTTCAAACATTAGGATAATACTATGAGTCTGCCTACGTGAAAATAACCATGCAGGCTTTGATTTCCAACTTGATGGTCAAGTTGCTGACTGTTGAGTCTCCTGTTATTATTGTTGTTATTAATATTATTAGTTCAGATGGAACACTGGAATTTTGAACATCCTTGTATCCCAGTGAGATACTGAAAAAAGGATTAATTTTCAGACCCTGATTTTCGTATCGAAGGTACGCCAATATGACGGTCTGCCAGACGTGTTGACAATTCTTATTGTACCGGTGTTTTTTACCATGAAGAGTCACCATTATAATTATTAATTATTATAATTATATATTCAAAGTCCACTCTCGTTCGTGATTGGTCAAAATAAGATTGGTCGGATAATTCTTGGTATCTTGAAGCCGTCGTATTTCAGATGCTGACGCCATCAGCGTGCAATAATACTTTTTTGGACCGAAGTTCTGTCCAAAAAAAGTATTATTGCACGCTGTGGCCACCAAGCCCCGGTGCGGGCCATATTTTTTCTTGCTTTCTTTCTAGCTTTGAATTTACAGGGTGTATAAAAAAAAAGGTAATCGAACTTCAGCGCGCTATTATACGCGAATTACTCGGCGTATGAACAATTGGTTTTCATATTCGGAAAGATCAGGCTTTTAGCTATTGAATGACATGCTTTTCATGACAAGTGGAGAAAAAATAAGCATGTACGAGGCCGATTGAAAATGTTAGTCAAAATCGCATATTTTCACCTCTGTGCCTAATTAAAACAATGCATAACAAAAGAAAAAGCAATTAATCACGAACGTGTCGTAGATTTATTCCGACTTAATAATTTTTATGAATATGTGTGCAGTTTAATGAAGTGAAATTCATCAACTTAAGTCCTAAAGGGGGTTCATTTTCAATGGTTTTAGACCCATCTCTCAACGGTGAAAATATGCGATTCGGACTAACATTTTTTATCGGATTCGTATTTGCTCATTTTTTATCCATTTGGCATGAAGAAGATATCATTCAACAGCTAAAAGCATGATCTTTCCGAATGTGAAAAATATCGTTCATACGCAGAGTAATTCAGATACAATAGCGCGCTGAAGTTCGATTACCTTTTTTTTATACACCCTGTATAATAAAACAATTATTGAATTAGAGACTTTGCGATTTTAGGACGGCAATGCGACGACGACGGCCAAAACAAACTCCTTCAAATAAATGGTAGTAAAGACAATTCGTCGTATATTATCAATCGTATGAATTTAATACAGTCTTAGAAGTTGAAGACATGGATTTTGTGGTTGGGAAGAGTTCTGCTGAACTCAGTTTGCACTTGTTGCAGCTTGAAATGCAGCCTTTGTATCAAGACGTGAAAATCTGTGATTTGGCGTTGTAAACAGAGCAAGGGCAATGTCTAAATTATTCATATATTGTAATTATTCAATTCCTTTCAATGATTTACAGTATTGTATTGGTAGCCGTTGCCGTTGCGTTTCCGTCCTAAATCCTCGTTGCCGTCCTAAGGCCTCGGTTTGTGTTATCCACCTCAGCCTTCGGCTTCGGGGGATAACAAACACAAACCCCAGCCTTCATAATTCTCGATATCATACTCAACCTCAGTCATTCAATAATCGTTTATTACGAACAGTAATATACAAGCTCACAGTCGTATGCTAATCTGACTGTACTAGTCACTGTGTGTCGATGCATTTCCAGTGAAAGTTGTGGAAAGTCCATTCTCACTAGATAATTACGACTTTACGCTTCACCTGCGTTGGTAACAAGGCGGAAGTCCGCGGAACGCACATTCAAGTCAGGTCAAGTCAAGTCAAGCCAAAAGTCATTTTGTTCGAGTCCAAGTCACAAGTCGTTAAGGCCGAAACACAACGGACGAGATTATACAACGCGGCGCGATTTCTTAGTTTTTGAAAGTTAATAAAACAGCCAATGAATGGAAATTGAAAATATATGTAGACCAAATAACTCAAAATGTTATAGCGCTTCTACTGTAAATATTTGGAAAATTTAAACCAGGATCGAGTCTACAGCTCTACGATCTGGCACTTTTTGATTGCAGTCAAGTCAGGGTGTTAGCCAGAAAAAAATTTTGTCCGTTAAACGTACAGTAAATTGGGAAAGTTTTTTTGACCGATCAAAGTCCTTGTGTTGGAATAAATAGTGTTTTTCCAACTTGTTTCTCCTTATTTTCCTTAATTTCTCCTTGATTTAAACTGCGACTATCTTTTACCATCTAAACATAAATCCATCAAAAATTGTCTGAAGTTAAATGGTTTAAAGCAAGTGATAAATCAACCGACTAGAATAACACCTGAATCAAAAACACTAATTGACATTGTTGCAACTACTCATGATCAACATTTGATGAAGCATATTGTTTATCCAAACTCAATCAGTGACCATGACCTTGTTGGTACAATAAGAAATATGAACTGCCGAAGATTCCAGCCTCGCAAGATTCATACCGGAAATTTTTCAAGATACAGTCAAGAGAGTTATAAGTCTGATCTCAGAAACTGTTCCTGGGAAAACATCTTCAACGGATTCTCAGACATAAACGATGCTTGGAACTCATTTAAGTACCATTTAATAGCGATTATTGACAAACATGCGCCCACGACGGAGAAAATGGTAACAGGTCGCGACTGCCCATGGTTAACTACCGAAATCAAATCTAAAATAAAGGAACGAGACTTTTTTCTAAGGAAAGCAAGGAAAAGTGAAATGACTACCGACTGGTTGGCGTATAAGAAATTACGTAATACCGTCACCCAAGACATTAGACGGAGTAAAGCAAATTACAATAGATCCCTGTTCAGCGAAAACATAAATTCACCCACACAATTCTGGAACCAAATTAAAAAATGCTACCCCGCAAAAGAAAAAAGAAACTGGTGACTAGCAAGGTTTTTGACATTGACGAAACTACGACGTCTGATAAAACGTCCATTGCCAATGGTTTCTGTAAGTATTTTACCAATGTAGGTAAAACATTACAGACGACACTTACAACTCTGGGCAACACAGTGTGGGAAAATCATGATCACAAAAACCTATCTAAGAGAATTAACCAGAAAGAGTTACAGTTTTCGTTTGAAAAAGTGTCTGTTTCAAACATGGTTAAGCTACTACGACAACTAAAAGCGTCTAAAGCAAGTGGCTATGACGGTATTCCAACATCGATGATTAAGGACGGTGCTGAAGAATTAGCGGTTCCATTAACCTATCTCATTAACTCATGCTTGGAACAGTCAGTTTTTCCTGACACAGAAAAATATGCAAAGATTACCCCTGTTTACAAATCCGGCAAACGGTCCTCTATGGACAATTACAGACCCATATCGATTCTACCTGTTCTATCGAAAGTGTTTGAAAGAGTGGTTCAGAAACAGTTATATGAATACCTAGAGAAGAATTCACTGCTATCTCCAAATCAGTTTGCTTTCAGGAAACATAGATCAACTCAGCATCCTGTAACGTTGCTTTCGGACCATATTAGAGGACACATGGATAAAGGAGAATTAACTGGAGCAGTATATATAGATCTAAGAAAAGCATTTGATACGATAGACCACGGTCGTCTACTCTCGAAACTTCCATGTTATGGAATCAGTGGAAGAGAATTGATCTGGCTTGAAAATTATTTGTTCGGAAGAAAGCAATTTGTTGTGTTTGACGCGGCAACCTCCGAGGGGCACACTGTCCTTACTGGTGTGCCACAAGGATCAGTGCTCGGTCCCCTTCTCTTCGTACTACTTATAAATGATATCGATTTGCAAATGAAAAACTGTCAAATTCTTTTATATGCTGATGACACAGTAGTTTACACATCTGACAAGTCATGTGAGGCTATTGAATCAAACTTAAACTCTGAACTTACCAATCTCGCGAGATGGTTCTCTAATAACAAGCTTGTTCTTAATCTTAAGAAAGGAAAAACCGAATTTGTTCTATTTGTTCTTTTTGGAACGAGTAAGTAACTTCGTAAATCGCCGAAAGTACAAGTAAAGATAAATGAAATACCAATAAGCGAGGCGGAATCATATGAATATTTGGGTGTAGAAATGGACAAGTCGCTTAACTACAACAGTCATACTGACAGGACTATCAAAAAGGCATCTGCGAAAGTTAAACTGCTATCACGTATCCGACAGAATGTCAGTCCATATGTTGCCGAGAAAATATACAAAGTTATGATTGAACCAACTCTTGGATACTGTGGTAACTTATTTCATGGTATATCAAATACCACTGTAAATCGATTTCAGCAAATTCAAGATCGTGCTGTCAATATCGTATATGGTACTAACGTAACACCTAATCGCTGGTGTTCAATACGAAATGTTAGGAAACTTCACTGCGCACAGGAAGTTTTTAAGTGTCTAAATGGCCTAGTGCCTAATCAATTTAATGGCATTTTTAACAAGTTCTCCCACCAGAAAGAAACGAGAGGAAACAACTCAAAATTGAGACTACCAAAAGTGAAAACAGAAACTGGTCGCAAGATGTTCTCGTTCCAAGGAGCTCTGGTTTTTAACGAACTGCCAGAAGATTTGAG